TAATACAAGATGTTACTATTTTTTAGAACTAGACCAAGCTGTGAGAGAATGTGGTATTATGACATTCTCATTATTCTGCTTGACCTGTAAAGCAGGCAGAGGTAACAGTGTGGGCACACAGTACCTGAACATGAGACATCAAGTATGGTTGGTACCATGGAGGGTATTTTTCCAAAATCTTGGGATTTGTAGTCTTAATGTAATTTTTTTCTTTTCTCTTCTGATTACAGATAGAGTGAGTTCAGTAAATTTCAGATTGACAACACTGTGCAGTGTGTGTAGATTCTGAGGGTCATGCCCAGTCTGTTCTTCAGGATGTGTGGTTGTGAAGACCAAACTGACAACTGCTTTTTCTTCTTTTTCATCGCATTTTTGAAGCCAGTGGAATTGGAATTCCAAGCTCCTGACTGTTGCTGCCTGTAGAACTTTTAGGATAGCTATAGAGAATTCAGAACTCGTAGCAGACATAAGTTCTACCAGTGTTGCAGAAGCCTAGGAACATTGTTATCTGAATCTTTTAATTAAAATATTCAAAGAAAAGTGGAACGTAATGAGCTATTAACAACATAGATTTCTTGGAATTTCCCTATAAATACAGATATAAAATAATTTTGATAAAATTACTCTGTTCTCAGTTTTCTGATTGGTGGAGAAGACACTATTATTGACATATCCTTCATAATAGTTTCTAGTCCAAAACATAAGTTGAACAAGATTCATCTATGGACTTGTTACATTCAGAAGCTATTAGGAACTATTGTTGAACACCTGAGCAAATTTCTGTTTATTGTAGACTGTACTGAGAGTCCATATGCACTTCTTTATATGGGTTTACAACAACTATATTGTTCATGGCTGATGATGGTCTTTGCTACAATACTTGGAAACTCCTCTTGGCCTCTGGAGGATGAGAATCTGGTAATCAGATCTTTAAGCAGTATATGCAAGTTATCATCATAATTGGGCAATATCCAGATAGGGAATGTATGGTAGCTGAAATTAGCAAGGTAGCTAGGTTTTAAAATTCTGTAACAATTTTACTCTATTTGATATTAATTTAGCCATTAAGTTTCAGGAAGTCACTCAAAATAAAACAGTTTTCACAGTGTATATTTTAGACCTAGTGACTTGATTTTGATGTGTGTGTATGGGAACTGTTGAGTCACAGCCTGAAGCACTGATTGAGCACCTGGGGAAAGCACTGGCTCAGCCCTGGGAGCACAGGTGAAGGCAATTCAGTTGTGTGAACAGAAGGGGTGGAGCCTGGCTGCACCTCTTTAGACCTCATTTAAGGGATGACTGTCCCTGTATAAAGTTTTCTGGTTTGAGATCCCTCTCTTCTGGAGTCTTTCTAGGTCTTTGGAGACAGGTGAGCATCTTTACTTTTCCTTTAAACTACCATCCCATCCATGGTGGTCTCTTTCTTGTTACATTCCTGTACTGCCCTTCCACTGTGTTAATCTTTCTGATTATAGCAATGGGTCATTCAGAATTCAATTCCTATTCCGGACAGAGCCAAAAGCAAGAATCCTAATTTGGTCCTGATAACAGAATGAGCTGAGAGGCATCTTGATGACATTTTTAATATTAAACAAAACACTTTGACAAAGATCAGTTGCAGCTCTTGGGTCTTTTCAGGTTATTTTACCTTTCCACTTGTTTATCCTTGTTGGGCAGTAAGCCTGATTATGAGTATGATGTGGGTTTTCCAGGTGAAGTTTTGTCTGTTTTCATGCAGCTGTGCTCTCTGCAAGTTAATGTTGCATGGGGGTAGCTGCTTGCTGCCATCTCTGTGGATTCTGAAGTTCATCACAGCTGGAAGTGGGTTTGTTATTTACCCAGTGCAAGGAATAACTATTACTTTCTCTAGAGGCTGCAGGTATTTTTTTAGAAAAAGTATCTGAATTTGCATGATGTTTACTATAGCAAATACTGTTTTCATCTTTGCCTGAATTAAAAAATTTTTTGCTTTACCCTTTGAACTTCAGAATAGTAAGAAGCTCTGGAAGTTTCCAAAGTCTTCCTGCTAAGACAAGAAGTTTCTTGTAACTGATTCTGTTCATTCTCACTATTTCGATGTGAAGCTTCACCGCAGTGACAATAGTGATGAATTTAGACACTGAAAGACACTGTCCAGATTGTATTTTAAAACCTTCTATAATGACTTACAAGATTTTGTATAGCTACAGATTTTATTCTTCATAGAAAATTGCTGATGAAGTTTAATACTGTGGTAGAAGTAAATGCTAGGGATTTGCTGGGAACTTAGGTGTTTAAGATATGAAGAAACTGTATAAACAGGAATGTGCTTTCAACCTATAAGGGAAATAGTTGACCAAATAAGACCTACGGTATGAGAGAATTTCTTTGCTAAGTTACTTTTTTCTTTTTTTGTCTTATCTGACCTTTTTTCCAAAGGACAACTTGTTCTTGAGAATAGTGCAATATGTTCTTAAGGTAATTCTCTTCTTCCCCTTTCATTTTGTTTGTGATTGGAGTGCTATTACCCTACCCCACAATGTTGTTATGCATCCTTGCCATCATCCAGGAGCAACTACATGGGGCTCCCCATTTGTGAAGGGAAGAGGCCTTACAGCACTGTATAACATGGTTCTCACCATCTAAAGATTGTAATGTATTACGAGCAACACTTGCTGCATCTGCTGAACAGACAAGTGTGAAGCCACGTCTCATTTTGTAATACGACAGTGCAAGCTCAGCTTAGGTATTCTCTATATCAGGTAAGGGAGGCAGACCAATTGGGACATAGCGTTGTTTTGTAGTGTTGTCTGTTTGTCCTATAATCTTCTTGGAGTGGCAGTGCTGCTGTTACCTTTCCTCATTTCATCTCTATCTAAGTGGTATTTCCCAGCAATCTTTTAAGAATTAGAAGCCGAAATTTCTAGTTGAGACTTGCAAGTGAGCATTTACCAAGAGAAGTTCCGTTCTTGCTGCTGTACTCAGCTGCCACCCAGCCTCCTCTCTTTCACTTTGGTCCTTGGCTACCCCAGCATTCTTGGGGGAGATCTGCAGGTTTTCCCTGAATGTTGCTTTGTATTTTGGATGTGTTGAATTACAATGAATTTGACCAACTGCTACAGACACATGCGGTCTCTTCATCAAAGTGGCACTGAACTGCAACGCAGGAGATTGTTTTTCTGTGGCTGCTGTTATTAATTGCATGATTCAGAGGGATAAGTTGTATTGAATGATATGATCGTGGCCATACGGACATGGATGCCCTGTTCATGTCTAGGTCTGCCTCTGATGTTACCAGCCATTAGCAGCTTTGCTGATATGTTTTGCTTAGACTCTGCAGAGTGGGGGAAAAAAAAGGCTGAAAATAAGGTTAAGCAAATTATTCTATATTTAAAGAAAACAATTACCCACAAATTGCTGTCTATTTATAACCATTCATTTTTAAAACTAATAACCTTGAGGTTGCAAATAATAATTTGGCTAAAAAATATTAGCACACAGTATTTAATTTATCAATTTTGGTATTATGATAAAATAGGAAAACGTTTAAATTCTGTTCTGTTACAGGACTTCTCAAAGAAAGTAAGTTTCAAATTTCTTCTATGGAAGACTGCAAATTTGTATGCCAAGTATTGACATAGATGCACGTATTTTTAAATCTGGATTTATATGCCTCTGAAAATATGGGTATATAATGGAAGGGCTTCCAGACCCTTTAGCTGTGGTGTCACTAACACACTGATGTAATTTGTTACCTCAGCTAAGGTGTTTTGCCTCAAGAGGTGGAATACATTTATGTATGGAAAGGTCACTTTTAATTAATAAGCTGTTTTCATCATTCAGGGCAATATGAATTGCTTGTAACATTTGTGTGAAATAGTTTTCAATATAAAAATAAAACAAATTGAGCTTTATGTCACATTCATCATCGCCTATAACCCATTTAAATGTCAAAAAATCAGTTCAGACCAAAAGTCTATTTCTAGAAGTGTCCGCAGCTCTATTTATCAGAATGAAATAAGATTTTATCATCCCATTATTCCATCATGCACCTTTTGCACTTGAAGACATAAAGTTTACTTCTAGTTTTCCATAACACAGAATATAGTTGTTCTATTGTTAAATATTTTTGTCCAAACAGTAATTAATGAAGAAAATGAGCCAGTGTTGGAAGAATGAACAGCTAATTATATTACTATATATCTCTTTCATTAAAATGTATAATGCAATATAGAAATACTAAATTATTTTCTTCTACATATCTCAAATGAAAAAAAAAATCACTGTTTTTGCATTCCTATTTGGAAACAAATTTTGTACACACTGTAATTTACTAGACAGTGTAATTTGAGAGGACAAGGTTTTCAATATATATGCACTAATGCTGCATTCTGACAAAAGTTGTGTGGTAGTGTAAAAAATTTGTCCTCATATTTTATTTTGAAATAAAAACTTTATTTTTGAATTTTTTCTCTGCTCAAGTTCACTTTCTGGGCCTTGTTTGCTGAGACAGCAAGGTTTACATGACCACCTCTCCATGAATATATCTCTCTTCTAAGAAATTTAAATTTACAAACGGGAATGGGACTTAACTGTTCTCAGAGATTCTAAGTTAAAACAAAAATGCATGAAAACAGGCAGCAGGATAGAGGAAAAAGATTCCATTAATGCCCATAGGAATGTGCTGTGATAGGTGTTCAGTTCTAGGGAGTCCATGCAAAGTATGTGTACTAGAGAGTTCAAGTCAAACCAAGTAGATCCAGCTGAAGATTAAATTTCATTTCATAAGAGAGTGTTCAACTGTAGGACATGGAAAACCAAAAAGTCAGACTGTGGTTTGTTAGAGAAGCTTTAATATACAATGTTATTTTGACCAAGTTCTTGAGTGAACTTTGGAGAAGAAAAAAGAGCTCATTGACTGGTGGGAATTTCATATTATTTAGAGAAGTGCATCCATCTATTGGTTTTTTAATTGTTTTTTTTTTCATGCTCATGCTTTATTTCTGCTTTTGCTACAACAGGTAGTGACATAGGAGGTGATGAAATCATAGCAGGAAATGTGAACAAGTATGCTGTTCTCCCAGCTGGGTATTCTGGACAGCCTAAAAAAGGACATCTTGTATTTGATGCCTGTTTTGAAAGTGGTAAGCATTTTCACATTTCTTTGTTACCAAACTGTCAATATAGTAATACATACGTCACTCTTTTTGATAAAAAGCGACTTAATTTAAAGATTTGTATTAAACACTGTTTTATTCACTTATTTGCTTCAGGGATGACATAGAATCAGACTGCACAATAAGAAAATATGAAACCTCTTACCTACAGTACAAGTTTCATTGTGTCTTTCTTTCTTATTAAATGTAGATACATAAATGGGTTTTGTTCTAGTGTTACATGCATTGTTATACATGCAGTATTTATAGAAACAAATTGAAAATTCAGGATATTATAAATGTTATTAAAAAAAATAATTCTCAAGTTTGCTGCAGAGGTTAACCTGACAAAGTACCAAGCCCATCCTTAGGTAGTTAAAAATATTATAAATGTGTACTTGTTTTCTTCAAATATATTTCTTGTTTGTGTTTCTTGTGGCTGAGTTCTGCGTTGCTGAGGTTGTTCCAAGTTCTGACTCTGGTGTCAGTGGGAGCAGATTTAGTTTTTAGGAAGCTATTTCAAATTGAAAGAGAAACTATTTTTACAAAAGTTATAGTTAGTATACTAATTTAAATAATCTTTTTAATTATGTATGTTTGTGTGTGTGAAGGTATATAGATAATATATATGAACATATAGCTCAGTTTAAATCTTCATGTTACATGTATGCTTATCTCTAGATTTTTAGCTTGCATCTATTGTTACTGGCTTACAGACCTGCAGAGTGCTGTTAAACACCATATGTACAAAAGGCATTTGGCAAGATAAACTATAGTTTCCAGCATGGTTTATGTGAGAGATGTTAGTAATGCCAAAACTGCTAGAGTGTCATGTAAAATGAGGATTTTATGAGGAGTTACATGCCTCAGGGTAGAATAGTAGCTGCCAGTTCCTGGATAAATATTAAACTGAGTTATTTAAATCCTCTGATTATTTTGTGTAAAAGGTGTAAATGACAGTTACTACTAAATAGTATCATTTCTTCTATCTCTAGAAGTTCTAACATTAACACATTTCTTAAAATATTTTAAGTGCTACTTCATAAGTTATCAATTTATGAATTTTTAAATCTGAAAACAGTTCATGAAATTTTTCATTAGCCAAGTTTAGAAATTGAGTTTATTGTATGAAACTGCTATGAAGTGAAAAGAAGGATCACTTGCAGCCATGAAATTATATGTGAAGTAATGTGAAGAATGCTGTCGTGGTCAAATTGCAATTCTTGAACAATAGAATTAACTGTATTTTTAAAATAAAGCTTTGATGTAGTTCAAAGGTAATATTCTTAATTTGACAGTTATAGCATGTGGTAGGGGCAGATGCTGTATGAAATACTGTTTGTTTACACTGTAGCATGATGAGTCTCTGTTGCTTTGCATATTCAGACACCTCCAAAATAGAAATATAAATAAAATTAATAACTTCATTTATTTTTGCATGATGATGATGTATTAGCAAGAATACTAATAATGTGTTTACTTAATTTGTAAATTCACTTTATTGTTATGTCAGCCAAATAATTGTTTACAGTAACTTAATGGGTCAAAACAAATTAACTGCTTATTGAATATTTGATCAAATTGTTATTAAGGCTATCCCCTAACATCAACCTAAGAGTAATATACAGCATTTCATAAAATCATAGAGTATTCTGACTTGGAAGGGACTTACATGGATCATGGACTCCAACTCCTGGCTCCTTACAGGACCACACTGAGAGCATTGAACTCCTGCAGGCTGGAGTGGTTGTGGTCCTGATAAAATTATGACAGGATGAAGCAAAACTGACTGACATTGATACCTAGAGAGTAATTTAATGATTGTCTTTCCAAATAAAGGCTATGTTAAATGCAACTCCACAAGTGGCTTTCCTATCCTTACATTCTGTGTTTTCTTGAAATATCTGGTTGATAGAACTGAAAGGTCCCTTCTACATTTATTTTTCAATGACTCTTTAATTTTTATATTACAGAAATGGAGGTATGTACCTTTTTAGAACAGAAAGATTACTTAACTTGTAGAAAACAGTAAACAAAAAAAAAAAAATTAACACATGTAAAATAAATTCTATTAATTATCTTTCATTTTTTTGTGATGGCTGTCACTATATTAAGTAGTGTTCAGGAGTGTGAATTTGAGGCAGACGTGTTTTCATGTAGTCTAAAAAGCAATGCCTATTTAGCTGTTTAGAAGGACCTTGTTTTTATAAAATCATAAAATCAAACTGAAATAGATGTAATTTCTTTAGTCCACTCTTTTATTGAAAGGCAAATATACTACTTTTACTATTCCTGACAGATATTTATCTTCCCTTCTTGCAGAGAATTCAGTGAGGAATGTTTCAATAAGAAAGCAGCAATTCACTCTGATAGTTCTGTTTGCTCATTATAAGAAACTTTTTCTTTCAATGAGATGTTCTCACCAAAAATGCATTAGTTCTTTTCCAATATGATGGGCACAAAAAGGAGATTATTCCTTTCTTTGACTTAGTGGAAAGCTGTTATCTTTCCTTGACCTTTGACTCTTCAGGTTAAATAACTGCTATTTTTTCAATAGTTCCTCACTGGCCATATTTTCCAAATTTCCTATCGTTCTTTATTTCCTCAGGACTGCTTCCAGCTGTTCTATGCCTTTCTTGATGTGCCGTGATCCTAGATGAACATGATACTCAGATATGCTGATGCCAATACCTTGTAGACTTTATTGCATGATATGCCTTGCAATCTATTTACTTCTGTGACTCAGTCCAATCTCTTTCACGATAGCATGGCACTATTGACTTTTATTAAATTTGTGATCCTTTATACTCTCCAGATCCTTTTCAGATGAGCTAGCTAACTAGACTGTAGCTTGCACTTAATTTATTCTAGATGAATTTAATAGTAGTGAAAGAATATTTGTTGTAAAATAAATAAATAATTGAAAAGGAAGAATAGAGGTTGAATCATTTATCTTATAAATAACAGATGGAGGGGTAAAGCAGAGAGAATATAATCAACTTGCAAATATCTAAGGAATTTGAATTTGTGTTCCCATAGTTTGAGCTAATGTGCTAACAACTGGAATCTTCCTTGTCTTTATTAATATTTAAGGATATAAGTCCAGTAGAAACTTTTCACATTCACTTATCATTAGCATAAAAGAATAAAACTTAGATTTTTTGTACTTATATGTCATGATGTATTTTTTGGGTGCTAATTTTCCAAAGAAGTATGAGTTAGTTTTGGGACGGAACAGAAACACAACTATCTGTACATAGAACTTATAAAAGGGAATAAATCTCATATTTGAAATGTATGATTTTGGGTCAGTCATAGTTTCTTTTTGCTATTATTCATTAAAACATTATCAAATTATCCTGCTGGAGTGCAGTGCTCTGTAAATGTTTCTCTTATCCCCTGCTCTAGAAAAACTGAGAATTTTGCAAAATAAAATCCTTCTAGGAAAGGGTTGTATTCACTCCTGCTGTACGAAGAAGTCCTTCCTAATTGCATCAGGCCCAAACTTTGATGTTCTTTAGGGAATCTGGTACTTTAACAGCTTCAGGGCAAATTGGTATTTCAGGCATTTTATTTTGTGAGGATCTAAATGACTTTAAATTTAGTTTAGCTAGTTACCTGTGTTATTTTGTATTGGCTTAGAACTTATTTCTGATGGCATTGGTTTAGTCAATGGTCTCTCTAGTGTTGTGGTTAGGGTTTATTTTTATTTGCTCATTTTTGGAGATTATAAACTAGTATTCCCCAGTGATGAAAGAACTGCTTTTTTCTTCTGGGAACTTATGTAACAGCTTCACTTTCTTTTGCAGAAGGTAATAATTCTTTATTAATTTTATGTGACTCACACAAAACCTTTCAAATCTGTTTTGCAAAGTGAACAAAGAAAACATGAAGCAAATGTCTTGGTCTTTAAAAAGAATCTGGTATTTTTATGGTGCAGATGCCAGTTCAACCTTTTGTGAAGAATGCCAGTCTGATGTTCCCTCTCTACGATAGGGAGGGTTTGGGCAATAATCCTGAAGCATGGGAACTTCAAGGGTTTGACCAAACTTTTGCAGGCTACAGAAATATTTTGTCAGGACTCAGATAGAATGAAGGACCTGAAAGTGACATTATGATTTTCTTCTAAGCCCAAAAGCGTGGCTGAACAGGCTGGAGTATAATATTGTAAGGTATTAGAAATAATTCTGTAGCTCTGAAATGGACCACAAAACATGGAGAGATTGAAATCTGTGGATTTGAATTAATGTTTTCTTCTGAGAACGTTGGTGCTTTATTGGGTTCTCTGGGTGTTCAAACAGAGTTCCTTGCACAATCAACTCAAATATGGAGAAACCTCAAGTGTGCTGGATTTTTGGAGTACTCTAGAGGGTGCCATCAGACAACATGGAGAACTTGTTCTTTGAAATACTGTCTAGAGACTGTTCTAGGAGGGTACAAAGCATGGCGCATGCTGGCACGTATTCAATCTGTGTTTCTGTAGCCTTCAAAAAGCCTGCAAGAGGTGACATCCACAGAGCAATCATCTTGATCACTGCATTGGTCATAGTGCTTTGATAGGAATAAATTTCCCCTGAGTTGAGAATACATGTGTACCAGAGAGGCTTGCAGACCATTTTCTGTACTGTGCAAGGACTGTTTTTTCAGGATATAGCTGTCTTGGCATCTTAGTCACAGAGTGCTTTGAAGGCAGAATCAAAACGAGTGTCTTTTTCTTTCCCCTGATTTTTTGATGTAGAGACCTGGCAAATGAAAACCATTGACACTGGCAGCTATGTCTTCACTGAAGGTCAAAGCGAAGAGAATTAAAGTATTGTTCATTTTGTTTAATATCTGGATTGTCAGTCTCCATTGGAGTATTGGTTGGTCATTCTGGCCTGTACATACTTCTGGATTAACCACAGCACATCCTCTCTTGCCTGGAAGGATGTCATGGGGAACATGGGAAACAGAAGTTAGTGGTAGACTGTTAGGTGTTGAATTGCAAG